AGAAAGAAAGAAAGAAAGAAAGAAAGAAAGACAGAAAGAAAGAAAGAAACTAGCCAGGCACTTCTTTAATCCCAGCACTTGGGAGGCAGAGGCAGGTGGATCTCTGTGAGTTCGAGGCCACCCTGGTCTACAGAGGGAGTTCCAGGACAGCCAGAGAAACCCTGTCTTGAAAAAAAGAAAAGGAAAGGAAAGAAAGTCTTAGGAGATGGCTCAGTGGGTAAATCTGTTGCCATGCAAACCTGAGGACATGAATTTGGTCTGGGGATTCAAAGACGAAGGAAGGGATGAACGGACTCTGGAAAGTTGTTCTCTGACCTCCACACTCACATGTTCAAACTCTCACACACAATATACATATACACAATAAATAAGGGCAGGCATGGTGGCACACACCTTTAATTCCAACAGCAGAAAGTAAAAGGCAGAAATAGGCAGATCTCTGTGAGTTCAAGGCCAGCCAGGGATACATAGTGAAATCTTGTCAAAAAAAAAAAAAAAAAGGTGCCTTGTGGCCTAAGGAGAAGCAGGGGCTCCTCTGGGAGGACACTGGTCCCCTTCTTCCCTGGTCTTGGCTGTATTTGCAGGGGACTGCCCTTCTGGTGGGGAGGAGAGTGAGAAGGTTATCTAGAGAGGGCCATTGGGGACATACTGACACTCCTTGAGCTCAGTACCATTTACAATCCTTTTGCTACATTGGGGGTACTCTCAGTCTCCCAAACTTTGGAGGAGGAACCTCAGAATCTAGAGGACCAGCTGGCCACTGAGAGTCACAGCCCAGGCCAGCTCAGATGACTTGGGGGGTGTCACTGGGGGGACTTACCCTGAATAGCAGCAGCGTCCCTGGTACCACTGCACAGAATAGCAAGATGATCCCCTCGGCTGTGATGATGCGGTTCTTGGTGCCTTCCCCCATTTCCAGGAAGGGCCTAGGGACTGGCTCTGTGAAGACAGGGAGGGTACCGTTCAGAGTTCCCAGATCCCCTCCTCTCCCAGCCCACCCCTTATGAGGTCAGGGAGCCCTGAAGCTACCATCCTGCAGGTAAGAACATGTGTGCTGCTGGTTGCAGGTCCAGGAGGGAGGAACCGGCTCTGCTCCTAGGGAAGCAGTGTCCTGAATGGGAGAGGGAACCGGAGGGGCAGTGCCCCTTGCTACTTACTCCGCACTCGGAGGTAGGTGCCACAGGAGAATTGCAGCACGCTGTTTTCTTCCACAAGGCACCTGTACATGCCCCTATGGCTCTCGTTTACGTTGGAGATGACCAACTCGCCTCTGGGCCCCCCGCCAGGACCCATTGACACTGAGAGCACAGAGCCATTGAACCGAAGGGTGTGGTTGGATGGAAGGCTGTACCACCATGTGATATTAGGTTTGTTGCCATCATGTTCGCAGGTGAGGCGGGCTTCATCGCCCAAGTTCACTGTCACTGATGGTGGAACCTTTATCTTCAGGGCCTGGCATCCAGGGCCTGTGGGGAGAGGAGAAGAGACAAGTGGGTCATAGACTGGGAACGGCCCTGATTGCCCAATCCTGAGCCCTTCACACCAGCAGTGGTCCTGATGGCAATGATAGGTATCTAGCCGGGAGGGGGCGGCGGCGGCGGCGGGGGCGGCGGCGGCGGTGGGGGCGCACGCCTTTAATCCCAGCACTCGGGAGGCAGAGCCAGGTGGATCTCTGTGAGTTCGAGGCCAGCCTGGTCTACAGAGCGAGTTCCAGGACAGGCTCCAAAGCTACACAGAGAAACCCTGTCTCAAAAAACCAAAACAACAACAAAAAGATAGCTGTCTAGACAAAGAGAGTAGATGCTGGGAGAGACAGCCTGTGGCTTCTTGCCCCACTGTCCCTCTGCATTTTCCTGACACCAACAGTGCCCTGATGCATAGAGAGCTCCCCAGCCAGCTCAGAGACTCTCATGAAGGCCTTCCCATTGATCCCCATTCCTCCCAACCCTTAGGAACCTCCACTGGGCCTGGGGTGGGGGGCCCAGTTTAGACCCAGGGTGGGCAGGGCCCAGCATCACCCAGCCTATTGGAAGAGGCGGTACTCCTGAAACCTCCCAGAATCTGTCCTTTCCTGGCCTGGGCTTGGCTTTTGTGCCTAGGCTGTTTCTCGCCTCTGTAATTTAAATGTGTCAACCTAGGAACCTGGACTGAGTTCTGTCTGGGGGCGGGGACGGAGGCTCAGAAGAGAGCGGACTGATGCCTATGGTGTCTATTCTGTTTTTATCTTGCAAGCCCCCATTCTCAGCCTCCCCAGGACCACACTGGCTTGTGGCCACCGCCCTGGACATTGCAGGAAGGAGGAAGGTCGGAAGTGAGAAAGAGAAGGTGTGGAAAGAAGCCCCCTACGGCAACTTTGTAGTCACGGGCTTAGGACTCAGGCAGCAGCGTCCAGTCTCTGTTCCCAGCGTCACTTGAGTGGCTGACCTTCCCCTCTGAAAGCCTCGGTCAGTGTGGTCACACTCGGGTGGGGGAGGGGAATGGAGAGTCTGATGAGGCATGCCCTCCCTTCCCCTCCCCGACACCCTTTGTTACCTCCCCTCAGCCTGCCCTGACCTTCATTCCACACTTACCTCAGTTCCTCATTCTGACTTGTGGTTGTGTGTTGTGGGGCATGGTGGTCTTGGGCCTAACAGTGGACTTCTCTGAGCCTCCTCCAACCCAACTTGATACATCTTGATACAGAAAGTTCCCCCTGGTTCCCTGCTCCTGTTCCTTTTCTTTCTGGGACAGGGTCTCAGTAAGTTGCCCAGGCTAGCCATGATAGAACTCAGTATGCAGCCCAGGCTGGCCTCAAACGCAATAGCCTCCCCACCACCGCCTCAATCTCCCGAGTGTTGGCATTACTTTAAGGGGTGTGCCGCTATGCACCACCCTGCCTGGCTTCCCTCTGCTTCTGGCTCCACTCTCCACCCCTCCTGTCAGCTGCACCACCCCCACCCTCACCCAGCACCTTCCCTTTTTCCATATTACCCAGGCAGGCTTCAGACAGGAAGAGGAGGAGGACAGGCAGGACTCCAAGGACTCCTAGACCCCCTGACATCTTCTCCCAGTGGGTTGGTTAGTCTGGGTTGCAGTAGCTCTGAGGTACCAGATTCCACCCCCAAATCCACCTCACTTCCTGTTGGGCCCCGACGGAGATGGGCTCCAGTGGCCTTTATTTGCCATGTGTTTCAGGCCCCGAGTGGAGAGGAACTGCCCTGCACCTGCACCCGCCGCAATTCCCTTGAGCCTCTAGTGCTTGGGTGGGGAAGAGGCTAGTTCAAGGCCTGGTTCATCGCCACTGAACCTGCGGAAGGACCCTGGTGAGGCAGCGTTCAGGGTGCCTGCTGCGGGCAGGGCTGCATGCTGCTCTTAGCTTTGGCAAAACCTGTCAGCCCCCATCAACCCTTCTTTTTCTAACCCCACCGCTTTTCTCTCTTTTCCATTTTTGAAACCATGTTTCACATAGCCCAGACTGGCCTTGAATTCACTATGCAGGTGAAAAAAAAAATCTTTTGTTGTTGTTTACTTATTGTCACCCTTGTTTTTTTTTTTAATTGATGAAGCTTTATTTAATGTATATGAGTGTTTTCTGTATGTATGTATGTATGTATACCATATGTGTGCCTGGCACCTGCAGAGGTTGGAAGAGGGCTACAGATCCCATGGAAATAGAGTTGTGAGTTGCCATATGGGTGCTGGAAGGTGAACTTTGGTTCAGTTTGGTCAGTGCTCTTATCCACCGGGTCAGCTCTGCAGCCCCTGAAGATGCCCTTGAAGTCACCAGCCTCCTGCCTCTGTCTTCTTCTCACTATCGCCATTACAGATGTGACCACCGTGCGTGGCAAACGTTTCCTTTCCTGGTCTTGGGGATTAAACCCAGGGTCTCATGCATGCCCGGTGACTGCTCTGCCACTGAACTACACCCCAGCCTTGGAGTTCTTTTATATCTTCTCAACAGGGCAAAGTAGACCATCCTCCATTTTACAGAGGAGGAAACTGAGGCTCAGGGAGGGAAGCAACCACTTGCCCGGTGCTATACTGTCTATGGTGGACTCAGCTGAGGGTGTGCTGGCTCATGCCTGCAATCCCAGCATTTGGGAGGCTGAAATAGGAGAATGATGAATCAAGAGGCTAGCCTGTGCTACATAAGAAACAGGCAGACGGGGGTATGTGACAGGGAGCTCACTGGCCAGCCAGTTTAGTCAGTATATTGAGCTCTGGGTGATCCTGTTTTTGTTTTAAAGGTAGGGACTGGATGGTTCAGTGGTTAAGGGCACTCGTTTCTCTTGCTGAGGAACCCTGGCCAGAGTGAATTTCAGGTCAGCTTGTGCTGCAGACTCTGACTCAGACAAAACAAATCAAAATAACAACAAAAGGGAGGCAGAGGCATGAGGATTGTTAAGAGTTCCAGGTCAGTCGGAGTTTTACAAGACCCTGTCCCAAACAAACAAACAAACAAACCCCAAAATAGGGGCAGGAGAGATGGCTCAGCTGTTTAAGAGCACATTCTTGTAGAGGACCTGAGTTCCATGCCCCAGCCCCACACCCACACTCACATGTAACCCATGTGGTGGGTTACAACTGTTTTCAACTCCAGTTTCAGAGGCTCCAGCACTCTCTTCTAAAGTACATGGGCTCATGCACACATATAGTGCACTTGCATGTGTGCAACCCCCCCCCCCCCCATATTACTTCCCCAAATAGACAAATAATTTGAGCTGGGTGGTTGCACACACCTTTAATCCTAGCACTTGGCAGGCAGAGGCAGGTGAATCTCTAAGTTTGGGGCCAGCCTGGTCTACAAAGTGAGTTCCAGTAGAAAACCTGGTCTTGAAAAATCAAAACCAACCAACCAACCAAACCAAGCAAAAGCAAAAAGAGAAAAAAAAAAAGAAAAAGAATTTGAAAGAGGCTGAGGGGCTAGCTGGAGTTGTATAGCACTTAGTAGATCTGGTGAGGCCCCAGGTTCAATTCTTAGGACATCAACAAAACAAGAACCACATTCATTGCAGGATATTTTTGGTATAAACAAATCGTGAAACAATGCCAAGGTACATTTGCAGGAGAAAAGACATGCCATAGTACAATAGGGCCGCTGAAGGCCTTAGAGCTGGGGTGGAGACAGTGCCAGAAATAGGGAGGAGGAAAAACCTGGTGTAGATGATGGAGTGGACTTGTCTCCCGGAGGCAAAACGACACTGGGGATAAAGGCCTGTGGTAGAGGTGAAATGTGCACACCCTTGACTCTCACATCCTGGGGAAGAGGAGGACTGGGGCTGGGGAAGGGCACAGCTTTGCCCACCTTTTTAACAAAAAGCTTTGGTGGGCGTGGTGACACACACAGACAGATCTCTTTGAGTTCAAGGCCAGCCTGGTCTACAGAGTTCCAGGACAGCCAGGGCTGCTACACAGAGAAACTCTCAAAACAAACCAAAAGTTTCATTTTATATGCCTGGGTGTTTTGTCTCCACGTATGTTGTCAACACCCCTGGGAATTGGATGGCTGTAAACTGCCACAATGATGAAGGGAATTGAACCAGGGCCCTCTGGAAGAGCAGCCAGTGTTATCAGCTCAGTTCCAACCCCCTATTTTGACTTCAGTCCCCCGTCCTTGTTCCCCCACTCCCGAGACAGGGTTTATCTGTGTAGTTTTGGAGCCTGTCCTGGATCTTGCCCTGTAGACCAGGCTGGCCTCGAACTCAGAGATCCACCTGGCTCTGTCTCCTTGAGTGCTGGGATTAAAGGCGTGCACTGCCTGGCTGTTACTATTTTGTGTGCAGGTGTGTCTTGCATGTGGACTGTGCTCGTGAGTATAGGTAGGCGCCCGAGGCCAGAGGCATTGGATCCCCTAGAGCTAGAGTTAAGTTGTGAGCCACCTGACATGGGATGCTGGGTCTTCAAGAGCAGCAAGGCTGCTTTGAATACTGTTTTGTGTAGCAGGAAACTTAACAGTTATTAATAAAATCAAACCTGAGGCAAGTTATTGGGGTGAATGCTGGAAGATCAGAGAAGCAGAATAAGCCACAGCTTCTTCACCTCAACAGTTCCTCAGCTGATCCTGTTTCTTCAGACCGGAAGCTTCTGTGTCCTCATCCCAATGGCTCTCAGCTGAACTGCTGCTCGAAAGCCAGAAGCTTAACCAGCTAAAAGCTTCTAGTTTCTGGTCTTCACACCTTATATATCTGTTTTTGCCATCACTCCCTGGAATTAAAGGCTCGCTTTCTGGGATTAAAGGTGTGTATCACCATGCCTGGCTGTTTCCAATGTGGCCTTGAACTCAGAGATCCAGAGGGATTTCTACCTCTGGAGTGCTAAGATTAAAGGTGATTGCCACCATTTTCTAGTCTTTGTGTCTAGTGGCTGTTCTGTCTCTGACCCCAGTTAAGTTTATTAGGGTGGACAATATTTTGGGAAACACAATACCACATTTTTGCATGCCTGAAATATTTCATAATTTAAAAACAGGTCAAGTGGCCAGACTTATTGGTGTACTGTAATCCCAGCACTCTGAAGGTGGAGGAAGGGGGTCAGGAGTTCTATGTCATTTTGGGTTACACATAGTAAGTTTGAAGCCAGCTTGGGTTACAAAGGTCTAAAAAATAAAACTATCACTTGGGCTTCAAGAACCAGAGATCCTTTGAGGCTGTTCCTCCCACTGTTATGTAGGTACGACCATGTCATGAGCTTGGTGCAAAGAAAAAGCGCACTCAGCAGTTCCTAAGAAGCGCACTTAGCTCTTCTCTACCATCCTCCACAGCAGGCCACTCCCCAGTGTTGCTAGGTGCCTGCTTCTAGAGGACAGGACAACTGGTCTTCATTCCCCAAGTTCCTGCCATGGCTTCTCAGAATGAGCTAGACTTCATTTTTCAGCAGTGGCTAGTGGCTGCCCCCTAGTGGCTAAACTGAAGCTGTGGCCACGAGTCCCATTTAAGGCCAGGGAGCTTATTCACACTTGTAGTGATCATGACACCTAGGCCAAATAAATTCTTCATTGGGCCACAGAATTGGACAGGGCTAGTCCAGCCTTAGTAATAGCTCGGGCTTGAGGTGGTCTGCATGGGCTAACAGAAGCCACACAGTCCTCAAAGCCTCGGAATACCCAGTTATCCAGTGACCTGCCCCTTATCTTCAAATGCTGCAAGATACCCACTTCAAGAGGCTTGCTGGGCACAGAAACTACAAACTGCCTGGCATGCATGAGGGGTGGCACTCACTTCTGAAGAGTTGGAAGAGCCACTAGCCTTTTTCTGTTTTTTTGAGACAGGGTGTCTCTGTAGTTTTGGTGCCTGTCCTGGAACTCAGAGATCCACCTGGGTGCTGGGATTACTAGCCTCTTATGGTAAGAGCTTTCAACAAGGGAGTCACAGTTCCACCTGGCAGGTTGCAGAATGTTACAGATGGAGGAGTAATGAAGGTATGGAACTGCAATCTAACACCTGGGGAGCCTCCAGGGTCAATTGAGCTGGGCTGGACTTCTGACGAGTTTAGGCACAACACACTTGGTTACACTGGGCAGTTAAATTTGCTCAACCACCACATGGGGGCACTCCACACCAGACACCATGATATCCAGCCTAGATAGCCGCTCCCACCTTCCATCTTTAGGTCGTGGATGGTCACTCCCCAACTATACTGCCTTCTCAAAACCTGAAATTTCCCCTTTCTGGGAATTGTATCATAGACAGGATGTGTGCCTGGCACACTTGCAGCCCAACACTACCATCAGCTAACACCAGCTCTACTGGTGTCTTGGGATATCCAGGGAAACCCTGGCTTGAAAAACAAAAGCAGACCCAGACCAGGATTATGAATGAGGCAATTTATTAACCCAGCATCCTTTGTTCTAATGCTTCTTGTTGGCAGCTGCCACCTGTGGGAAGACAGAGGATCAGTGAGGGCTCTCAAGGCTTTGATGTGCTCACTGCCCAGATGCCCTCGCCCATTATTGTGGATACATCAGCGTCAATGTTTGTGCCAGGCCCTCCACCAAGACCCTAAGTTCAAAGCTGGTCTTCTAAGACCCTTAGCAGGTAAGAGTCTGTAGTTTAGAGAATATCAGGCACCAAGTGCCTGGTCAGGCCCCAGGAGCTTCTGTTTATACTGTTCACTCCTGCTTTTCAGGGTGAGAGACCACTTGACCCCAAAGGTAGTGGGAATGAAGTCCCTCTACACTGTCTGGGCCTGAACCAGCCTACCACACCATCTCCACCTCTCCTAAACTGCTGCACCTGGTGCCCAGTAAGTAGGAGCCATTAGAATTCCTAACCAAGGTGATCTCTACGGGGGTAGGGGGGACACAGGTCTAAGTTCAAACCACCCTGGGCTATGCAGTATATCCCAGTACCCACATTTCCAAACAGCTGCAGTAGACCTAATTCTCTCTCTCTTTTTTTTTTTCCTGTCCCAGTGTGACCTTCTCTGGTCCCTCCCCTCCTCAGGCAGTGCCCCAACTGAAGCAAGGAGCTTGTGCATGCCTCACCTGTCCGGCAATTCTGTCCAGATCTCTCTGTCCCTGAGGTGTTAGCTTGCGGCCCCTGTGCAAAGGGGGAAAAAAAAAAGAAATCACAGTCCTTGGATGAGCACAGACTCTGCCTCCTTGGGGAGGACAGAAGAAAGCACCCAGAGGGAACCACATTCTGCCTGCCCACTCATGTCCAAGCCAGCTGCATCCTAAGGAACTGAGGGCAGGAGTGGGAGACCCCTGGGAGCTGACAGGGTGTCGTTTGTGCAAGCATCAGATCAAAAGCCCCGAAAAATCAATTGGGAAAAGTTAACGAGCAGGCTAATGAAAGCAGACAGTCGCTAAATTACCTTCCCAGAGCCAGAAGTCAGCCAGAGAGGCCTGGGTGAGGCCCTTACCATCTGCCTTCTGAAGGCCCTGTACCTCCATTTGTAGGGAGGTCCAACAGCTTCACCGTAAGTCACCAATGGACAATGACCACCCCGACCAGCCACAACCCTGCATACCCATCTTGGTCCTTTTCCACCATTTTCAGCCCCTCTAGGGCTTGGAGGACGCGGCGGGCCACACTCTTGGAGCCTCTGCTGAAGTGGCTGGGCCTGACACCGTTTCTCTGCCGTCCTCCGTAGATCTTGGTCATGGAGCCAACCCCAGCACCACCTCGGAGGTACAGATGCCGTGCTGTGGAAGCTGGGGGTGGGGCAAGAGGGAGCCTTAGGACCATGTTTCCACATTCACTGTGTGAAATAAGGCAACTTCTCACCATTACAGGGGAAACGCTCGACACCCTGGTTCCTTGCCCCTCCCCTGTAACTCCCAAGGCTGACTGACTGGCCAGCCTCACCAAGTGTGGCCATCTCCACATGCCTGAGGAAGGACAGCGGAGAAGGAGCCGACTGTTCTACAGCACAGCTCAGCCCTGGAGAGCACCAGGTAAAGATGTGGCAAGGCAGCCACTTTCTGTAGTGGGCACCTCAAACTTGGAATGTGCATGAGCTCAGCCATGGATACAGGACTACTGTTCCTGGGGAGCCTCCCGGCCTGGCAAAACCTCGAAGGCTATGCCCCAGGTGCTGAGCTGGCTCTGTCTGCCATCCTCTGCACCATGTACCCTCCCTCCTTCACATTAAAGCAATAAATAGAACAGCCTCAAGAGCGAGCGGCACAGTGCTGGGGGGCACCAGGCAATTCAATGGCCCCACAGACTCACAGCCCACATACTACCACCAAGTCCCAGGCCATTTAGGCAAGAAGGGACTTGGGCCACCATATGGCTCTGCCTGGCTAAGGAACACAGGGATGTCTTCACCCCTAAAGCAAAAACCAGGCAGCCATCTTGAATTGGCCCAGATGCCACCTCTCTTCTGGCTCTCAAGAGCCACCAGGCCAAGTAGAAATTCATTTTAGTGACTCCTGTACCATGACCCAGTGAGTGGGCTCCCGATCTGCCCATCCACCTTGCTCCCACAGCCTGCCTCTAGCCTAGGTTTTTTAAGCCACAGTCCCGCACCCATCATGAATGACAGACGCATTTTGGTGTCATTTCCCATCTTCTTGCAACCTTTAAGACCAACTCAAATGCCCCACAGCCACTCCTCTACTTCCAACGCCAGAACTTTTCTGTGCTGAGTCATCTGTTCTTCGTTAGGGCAGGGGACCTTGGTTTCACTAGGCTGGGATCAAGATCAGCCCGGACACAGCTGGTGCTTGAATCTCGACACAGCACCCCAGCATCTGTCCAACAGTACCAAAGGGAAGCAACCGCCTCACCTGCAAGCACAGTGGCCAGGCAGGGAGGGAATCACAACAAAGCTCACCAGCTCCTGTAATGGGGGTTTAACAGTCCTTTTCAGCAGCACATTAAAAACCATCTCGTGGACAACCACCTGTCAGCTAATTACAAGGCACTGCCTGCCGTCCCAGAGCTTGTGTGCATTTCTTTTCTGGGTTTAAGAAAGGACTATTATTTAGAGGCTGTAAGCAGCAAGGCAGAGTTCATTTATTTATTCTTTTTCACTCTCTTCTTCAATGAGACCTGGGCTCTAGCACATCCCCCACCCCCACCAGGCAGGGGTTTCTCTGTGTAACTAACTCTAGAACATTTTAAAGATAAAACTTTAGGCAAATCCATAAAATTGTTGCTGAGTTTCAGAGTCAACGAGACAGGGCTTTGGCCCTGAATGTCTTCTCACCACCCTAAGAGCTGCGCTCAGGAGGGGCTGGTTCCCTCCATGAGGTACTGCAGCTTAGCAGCAACTGAAGAACCTGTGCTAAGTGCAGGTGGCCCCGTCTTGTCTTGACCAATGGCGTCAAAGGGTTGGATGAGGAATCTTGGACATTTTCCACCCTGACCCTTCTAGGCCAAACTAGGAAAAACTGCGTTCCTAGCCCCAATCCACCCTGACATTGAAGAGCCAATGGAGGCCTCCTACCCATGCCCCACTGTACTCTTCTGTTTTTAAGTCACCACCTCGGATCCCCGTGCCCACAGGCCTCCCCATACCAACCCAGGAGTACCCTACCTTTTGCCACAGAGCCTTTCCCCCACTCCCAAGATAAACATGAACCTGCTACCTCACTGCACTCTAGCCCCAAATGCAAGTACAAGTGTTAGGCTTACAAGTACACGCCATCAGACCCGGTCCCAAACTCAAGAGCCATCTGGCTTGATCCCATTCATTGCTAACCTCTTCCCACCTCTAGGCTTGGCTTGCCTAGCATATACAGAGCACTGAATTCAACCCTCAGCACTTGGGAGGCAGAAACCAGATTGGCTTACTTAACAAATTGCTGGTCAAATAGGGAGCACATCCTGCGACCATTTCCAAATACAAACCAGCAGTGACAAAGGTCGTAGATCCACATCACTAGCTTATGGACCCTATACACGCAGGACTTCCCCAATACCAAGTGTGAAAAAGAGACAACCAATTCTGTCTGGGAGGCACAGAATACACAGCATGTATTAATCACTCTACCCAGAGAAAATTAATCTTTCTTGCAATTCTAAATCCAAGCTGCCCCAACCTATCACCTGGAGCACTGTCCATGACTTGTGCACTTGCTTCTGAGAAAGGGGAAGGGTGTATCTCAGCTAGGCCTCACCACTGCTGTAGCTGGGGAAGCCACCTTCCCTACATGACCCTCATCCTTAAAAAAATGCGCTGGCAGGTGGATGCACCAACCTTTTCCCACACTGTGGAATTGACCTTTTGGTTTTCAGAGGCTGTGATGAGTCATGATGGTCCCTGTGCCCATGCCAAAGCCTGAAACAAAGTGGATCCCATGGACATTTGACTTAATAAACTTTAATATTATAAACTTATAAACTGCTTCATATTCTCAAGGGACGAGCAACCTGTACAAGGGTTTCCCATGACCTGGTCAGTTCTCAGGTCAGTTGGGGTCCCTTAGCATAGGCCTGTGTGTGAGCTGCAACCTTGGCACAACCCAGCACTGATCCCACCCAGCAGTCAAGTTTACAGAGGCTTACAGAATTCCAAAACATCCAAACAGGATCCAGAGAGACACTGAGAAGTTTTTGGGCACTGGGAGCCATAAGTTTCCTTTTAGAACAAGGAGCGCCATTCCCAACTTGCCAATCATTCAGTCAAAAATGACTTGATAGAGATTTGAATTTAAATGCTACACCATGGACACTGTTAGACTGTCAAGTAAGCCCCTATAAGTAAAATATTAGGTTTTTTGTTCCCAGGCTTCCTTTCACGTTCAAAGGTAGTTATTAGAACTGGGGATTGGGTCACCCAGCTCCCCATTCCCAGCCAAAGGCCCCAGTCCTCACCAGCTCGTGTGTAGAACCAGTTCTCATCATAGGGGGCAAGCTCTTTATGCTTGGCCAGCTTGACTGTGTCCACCCATTCGGGGACTTTCAGCTTCCCGGACCTGAGACCAAGAGAATGGAGAAAAGCACATTTCAGAAACTTCCGTAAACCACTTCAGATCCCTCAGCCATTCCCCCTTAACAAAGTCGGAAGAAGCAGGAGGGATGCTAGCCTATGAACGAGCAGGCTAAAACGGAAACAAGGCCATTCAGAAACGGCCCCAACAAGCGGCAATCCAGACTGACCACACATTGGGGGCTGGAGAGTCGGGCCTCCGTCGTAACACTTACTTTTTGAGGAAGGCTGCCAGAGCTCTGACGAACTCCTGCTGGTTAACGTCTTTTACAGTAACTCCAGGCATCTGCGAGAAAAGGGCAAGCATTGTCAACACGAGGCTTGGTGCAGAACACGGCGGCGGATCCAGGTCCACATCCACCCTGCTACTCTCCCACCCAAACTGGAGCCCCAACATCCTCCCAGCCTGCACTTCACTTCAACTGCAGGTCAGCTCGAGGTCCAACAGACTCCGGGGTGCCCATGGCGTGCGGATCACAGCCAGCTGGCGTGGTGACCGCGCGGGAGACCCCTCCGTACCCGCCTCCCGCAGCCCACGTCCCCGGGCGCTCCACTCACCCTCTGCTGCCCACCTAACCCTTTGAGCTCCCGGACTTGTGGCCATCAGGCATGTCCGGGCCTGCCGCTCGCACGTGGCCGCGGCTCCCGGGGGCGGAGCGGCCCCGCGCCGGGCTCTCTGCGGCCCCCGGCACGAGCTCTCGGGGCCAGACAGCCCGGCCCCGTGGCCCCGCGCACAGCCGGCCCCAGAGCCCTCGCTTACCGTGCGGCCTCCGCGCTGCCAGCCAGGGGAAAGGGAACGACGGGGTTTCCCGGGCGCACAAGTCGGGCGTCCAGTCTCGCGAGAGCTCGGAGTGCTCGCGAGAGCGGCTAGACCAGAGGTTTCCGCCTCTCTGAGGGCGAATATGGCTTCGTCTCCACCTAAAATGGGCGGGCCTGTAAAAGGAAGGGGCGGAGAAGCCGAGAGAAGGGGCAGGGGATGAGAGTAAGGGGTCTGCTTCCTCCTTCCGTTTCCTTGGGCGTGTGGCGAGACCTGAGAGAGCGGGGGTCGGGTGGGAACTTGGCTGCGTTTGAGCCTTGTGTGCCTGGCGGGAACCACGGAGTGGCGGAAACTATTGAGGGCGGAAGTGCGGGTGAAGTTGAGAGCGCGCGAAAGGAAAGCGGGCTTTAGCGCGAGACCCTGTTTCCTAGCGAAGTGGTTTTTTCCTGGCCGGAAGTGGGAGTAGTAAGGGCGGAACCAAGACGGGAAACCTAGGAAAAGGGCAAGGATGACATGTGGTCGCCACCACCTTTTGTTCTAGCGCCAGTATTCGCGAGTCCAGGACTACACGGAAGCGCCACCCTTCTTTGGGCGGAAATTGCTTCAGCTCGTTTGACGCTAGCGGAGTGGAACTAAGGCGTTGGAAGCGGGGAGGAGATTAGGGCAGGGACAACGAGGCAGAGGCGGGACCTTGGAGGAGGTTCAGCTCTGCCATCTAGTGCTGAAGTCTGTTTGCTCAGCCCTTGGTCTCGCCTCATTTGCCTCTTAAAAAAGTCACCATCCAAGCTGACCCGTGTAATTTTATTTATTTATTTATTTATTTATTTATTTATTTATTTATTTATTTATTTATTTATTTATTTATTTATTTATTTATTTATTTATTTATTATTTATTTATTTATTTATTTTTGTTTTGAGACTGGGTCTCATTATTTAGCCAAGTCTGGCCTAGAACTTTGTATTTATCGAAGGCTGTCTTTGAACTCATGGTCTCCTTGCTTCATGCTACAGGTACATTCATGTACATTCCTGTAGCATGCCTGGCTCTGAGTTTGGTCCTCTGCACTATCCCCTTCCCCCCTTAATGCGCGCGCATAAAATGTTTGAATGTTTGAAGTTGTGGTACATTCAGACGACTAAATGTTATTCAAGGTAAAAAAGGAACGAGGGGCAGTGAGATGTCTCAGAAGATCGAAGTGCTTGTCATGGAAGCCTGATGACCTGAGTTTGATTCCCGGAACCCATGGTGGAGAAAAAGAGAACCAGCTACAGAAATTCGTACCCTGACTTCCACAGAGTCATCCAAGGACACACATATGTTCACATATCGCACGTGTTCCTGCACACCTGCCCTATACACATACTAATAAAATTTAAATTTTAGAAAAAAATATTTGAAAGAAATGAGTTATCAATACTTAAAGAGAAAAGTCAAGCCATTTTGAGGGGCTGGAGAGATAGATGGCTTAGCTCTTTCAGAGGACCTGAGTTCAGTTCCCAGCATCCATACTGGGTGGCTCACAATTGCCTGTAATTCCATCCGCAGAGAATGAGATGTCCTCTTCTGGCTTCCTCAGGTACATACACATAATTAAAAGTGAAAAAATAATATTAAAACACCAAAATGGGCTGGGCATAGTGAGCACACCTATAGTCCTAACACTCAGGAGTCAGTTTGAGGCCAGACTGGTTTACATAGTGAGTTCTAAGCCAGCCAAACACAAGGAGACTTTGCATCAAAACCCCTAGGACCAAAACCACATCAATACAAACATCACCTACAAGACTGGTAAAGAGCACTTCTGGGAGTGTCTCTGAGGGCTTTCCTGTAGTTGGAGAGTGAGGACTCTAACTTAATCAATGGACTAATCCCTTGGTGGATTCGTAATAGTAGGTCACTGGTGAGAGGTGGGAGGTGGGCTTTGTTGGAGAAATGATGCAACTGGGACTCCATCTTGCTTGGGGCCTCTTCCTATTACCCCCCCCCCCAACCCCCTTCCTGTTTAAAGTGAAGTCCCATGGCAGGACACACCCAGCACAACAGTGATTTGCCCAGAGGCATGGAGCCATGTGACAATAAACTAACACCCCTCCAAACTGAGGGGGAAAAAAAGATCCTTAAGTTGTTTCTATCTGGTATTTGGCCACAGTGACAGGGAAGCTCAGTGTATCCATCCATGTGGGTTCATCAGTTGTTACAGATATGTGACTTTGGTGTAGGGTTGATAGAGGGAGAGACTGTGTGAGGGGTTTCTATGGAGACTTTTTTTCCCATTAATTTTCCAGGCCGGCACACAGCAATGAGTCCCATCGTGGCATTTTCATGCGTCTGTGCCACTTTACACTGTCCTCATTCATTTCCCCTTGCCACTTGCTGCTCCCATTGGATCCCTGCTCCAGCCAGAGAGTACACACTCCATGTTCCTGTTCCGTGGAACCCATTGCCATACATCTCACCTCCTTTAGAGTTCTTCCTCTCCCAGGCTGGTCTCAAATTCTCTAGATAGTCAGGGATGACCTCAAACTTCTGATGTTCCTGCCTCTGCCTTCTGGTGCTAGGACTCAAGGAAGTACCGGCACACCTGGTTTATAGAGTATTGGGGATCAAAGCCAGGGTCGTCATGAATGCTAGACCTATGGGTGTTTTGTCTACAAGTATGTCTGTATACTACATGTGTGCCTGGTGTCCACAGAGGCCAGAAGAGGTGTTAAATCTCCTGGTTTATAGAGTATTGGGGATCAAAGCCAGGGTCGTCATGAATGCTAGACCTATGGGTGTTTTGTCTACAGGTATGTCTGTATACTACATGTGTGCCTGGTGTCCACAGAGGCCAGAAGAGGTGTTAAATCTCCTGGACCTGGAGTTGACAGTTGTAAGCGGCCATGTGGGTGCTGGGACTCAAACACAGTCCTCTGGAAGAGCAGCCAGTGCTCTTGTGCTCTTCACCACTGAGCTATCTCTCCAGTCCTTGAATCCTCTGTCTAATGTGTAGTTGGCAAAAATGGTTTTTCACATTCTGTAGGCCATTCCCTGTCCTCTACCCCTAGTGATTGGAAACACTACTTTCTGTAAAACTGAGAGTAAGCAGAATGAAAAAGAAGGGCTGAGGGCAGGAAGCCGTTGCTTTCATGGTGTTAATGTTGGCAGTGGAGTGCACTAACTTAGTAGGGAACAAAATTCCGAAGGGATTGGACAGAACCTGTTTACTTAGTCATTCATTCTGAGTCCCCCAGAGAGAAAGCGCACAAGGATAAGCCTGTTCTCTTTGAGTAATTATTCCAGGGGTTGGGGACACAGATTGACACTAGCATAGCTTAGAGTGATCAAGTCTGTACCTCCAAGGAACATAAAGGCCTGAAGAGCTTAACACAGATATGGAGTGGGATAAAAGGCTGAATCTTGCTTTTGGGAAAAGCTCCGGATCCCATGAGGGTCTACACAGGGTATGATTACCTGCTATGATCACAGAGATGTGCCTCACAGAGATCTGCCTCTGCTGCCCGAGTACGGGGGTTAAAGTCTTCTCTGTTCTTAAGGCCGACCTTTGCAGATTTGCAGCACTCCCTCAGGGACCATTTGGGGGTCTACATGACTTGAAAGATTAGTTGGCTAGCTGATGGTGTGAAAAGCCTCGCTAAGTCTGGCATTGAGAAGAGATGGGCTTCAGAAAAGTGGGCAGAGCCTCTCCTCTGCTCACTTTCCTGCTGTTTGTTTGTTTGTTTATTTATTTATTTATCTGTCTATTTATCTATTTATTTAAAAGTTGCATGCTCAGCTAACTGCTGACTTACACTAGCATAACTAGCCTCCTTTTCTTTTAAATAATTAGTTAATTGGTGTGTGTGTATGGGTGTGTGCATGCAACAGAGTGTGGAGGTCAGAGGATACCGCCCTGGAGTTGTTCTCACCTACCTTCAGGTGGGTCCTGGGGTCCCTGGGCATAGTGGCTGGCGAGTCCTGCGAGCCTTGTCACTGCCCTTTGTTAGGCCTTTTGCTTTGATCTGTTTTGGCTGTGTGACCTTGGAGCACTGGGGACCCTGGGTCAGCCCAGAGCAGCAGAGCCTTAGCTGAGCTGCGTTTGCAGTGCTTCTCTCCCTATCCCTGACTATGCGGGCTCAGTCATCTGTCCCTGGAAGAGCACAGCACTGCTAGTGAGGCTTAAAGGGCAATCATATATCTAAGTCATAACCAGGGAGGGACGAAAGGTGTGAGGCTGGCTGTAGTCTTTGGTCTCTTACAGGGCCCCCTGATTAGGGTTGCAGATTCATTATTCTGTAATCTGCTGTGGAGTAGGAATAGCCCACCTTCTCAAGGCCTGGAATTAAGAGAACAAGGTGTTGTTGGGTCCCACCATCATTCACCATCTTGAGTAAAAAGAGGGTTGCAGGTAATACCAGGAGAACAGTCAGTTGTCAGGTATGTTGCTGAGCTCTGATTGCCCCCACCCCCAGCAGGAAGGATGGGCTCCCCAGGTCTTCCTAGTACTGCAATAGCTCACCAGGTGTCCTGTTTGCAATGACTCAGAGAGGATGCCACAGCAGAGGACTAACAAACATATGCTCTATTATTAGCTGGGCCTGGTGGCTCAAAGAGCCTGTAATTCCAGCACTCAGTAAGCTGGTGTAAGAAGAGTGCCACCACTCTGAGGCTAGCCTGGGTGCAGCAGTCAAGCACATTGGTTGCAGCTCTTAAGAGGACCGGGGTTCAATTCCTAGCACCCACATGGCAGCTCATGGCCAACTGTAATCCCAGTTCCAGAAGAACAGACGCACTCTTCTGGCCCCCCTGGGCAGTGCACAAACATAAATGCAGGCAAAAGACCCTTGCACATAAACAAGAAAAAAAAAATCTTTAAAAAGTTGGACTGTGAGTCAGGTGTGGTGCTACACATCATAAGCCCAGCACTCGGGATGCAGAGGCAGGTGGATCTCTGAGATCAAGGCCAGCCTGGTCTACAGAGTGGGTTTCAGGACCGCTACACAGAGAAACCCTGTCTTGAAAAACAAACAAACAAACAAACAAAAAATTGAACTCTGTTTTATATTGTGATATTAACATGAGATCTTGGGGATAAGCAAGAAAGAAAATTGTTAAACAGTGGTGTGTGTGTGCGAGTGTGCGTGCGTGCGTGCGTGCGTGCGTGCGTGCGTGCGTGCACACGCAAGGGATCTATTGGACTGGTTAGTTTGTCAACTTGACAAAAACTGGAATCATCTGGGAAAGAAGGACCCTCAATTCAGGAAATGCCCCCATCAGGCTGGCCTTTAGGTCTTGATTAATGATTGAAGTGGGAGGGGCTAACCTACTGTGTGTGGTACCAACCCTGGGTAGGTGGCCCTAAGTTGTAAGAAAGCAGGCTGAGAAAATCGTGATGGACAAGTCAGTGAGCAGGGCCCACCATAGCCTCTGCTTCAGTTCCTGCCATGACGTCCTTCAGTGGCTGTGGTTAGGACACGTCAGTCAAATAGCCCCTCTCCTCCCCAAGTTGCTTTGGTCATGGTGTTTATCACAGCAACAGAAAGCAAGCAAGGATGCCAGTCCAAAACATTGTGCATTGACAACCTTGGTAGAAAAAGGGAGAGAGACACTTGTGAAAATTGCTTCTGCCTGATGTGTTCCCTTCATTTTGTGCTTTATAAAAGAAGGAATCCTGATTGTTTTCTAGAAAATTTCCCTGACCTGTTGGGCTAACCACTTTCCCTTTTCAGCATAGATTACAGAGTTGCTGTTGAGACTCAGCAAATAGAAAGGATTCTCTCTAGTCTTTGATTGTGTCCTGTGTTTTTGTGTGAGATGCTGGGTATCGAACCCAGGCCTCATTGTTCTGGGCAAGCACTGTGCCACTGTGCTACAAGCCTGGCCCCTCTAATGAATTATTTTAAGAAGACAGGGGATTTTCCTAGTTCGGAAGATTCTTGATAAAGACTAACTTGGTTCTTGCTGTCCTGATTGGCTTCAATTTTCCCATCTGGAAAATGTCATGTTAGATTAGTATCAAATTAGTATTCTGTTAGCCAAAGTTGACCTGAAGCTGTGTTATCTGGCCAATATAACATTTAAAGAAGGCTGTACCAATGTTTGAAAATTATTATAAGATGTTGAACATAGAAACCCAGTTTCCCAATTTCTCTTGAAAAAACCAGAGGATGTGGCAGCAATGAGCCTAGGTTTCTGCCTGGGATAATCCACTCGGTTAAAGAAGACTGCCTGTAGGTGAGACATACAATCTGCTTCCCCATTGGGTCATCTTCACTTCTTTATATGGTCTACCTAGCCCCAGTTAGGCATCTCAATTGGTGGCTCTCTGGATAGCAGAAAACAGGTTCTATCCAGTACAGAGCTGGTGATTAATTACCACATCAGTGACTCCCCCAGTACCTTTCTCTCTCACTCTTACGAGGGTATGACTAGAAGTCCAAGTTCATGTTTTTTGCTTTCTTTCCTCAGCCTTGTGAGTGCTGGGATTACAGGTGTGAGCCACCATTCCTGGCTCTGTGGTAGTTATCAAGCCGATGACTTCTATGTTGAGACATGAATTGAATAGTCCTTTCTGTCAGTCAGGGTAGACTGTGATTATTATTATAGGCAGTTATGCTGTGATAATAAACTCTGTGTCTTGATGGTTTAAATGGCAAAGGTTTATTTCTTGCTTACGGAAACTTACATACAAAGTGAACATATTCTTGTGTTTTCACATGCAGAGACAGACTTGAGCATCCAGGCATATAACATAAACTCATGCAAAAATGTATTTAGATATGGTCCTCTTAAACTGCCCAGCTACCTCTATTGAGGGACTTAAAAAGGGCTATGAGAACATTCACTTCTAGTCAAGGAAATACCCACACTACAAAAGGAACCAGAAAGCTTAAAAAAAAAAAAAAGGCTGAATCTTGCATTACATTAAATTCTATGCAAAATGCATAAATAAAATACCAAATATGAAGTGCCTGCAGCTTGTCATCTCTTTGTCCCAGTAAGGCAGCCTCCACCTCTGGTTTCTAGCTGAGGAGAGAGATGGACCCCAGACGCCCAATGTGCAGGGAGACAGAGGAGGCCGGACTAGGCCGGAGGGGTGGGCCAACAGGCTGGAATCCTCTTCCCCCAGGAGGAGCTGTGGGCAGACAGGAAGGGCAGGCCCTGGTCACACTCAACCCACTGTCCCTCACTCCTCCTGTGGTTCATCCCCACCCTTCCTGTGTCCTTCCTCCTGCCTCCAGTACTGTCTTCTCCCAGCCCCCCACCAAAGCTACCATGCTCTATCTAGCTCAGAACATTCCCCAGTTCCCCTTCAAACAGCTGCTGGTCCGGACTCAGCTGCATCTCTATACTCAGAAGCCCCCCAGCCTCATCTGTCTACTTCCAGCAGATCCTCCAGACCAACACTGCACTGGACAGGGGTATTCTCAGCCTTCACCGCTGTTCCCCTTACAGCCCAGGATCTGGTTTTCCTTGATATCAAGGCACTGGACATTTGTCACTCAGAGCAAAACTGTAAAGAGTGACTCACTGAACAATGTTCAACTGCAGTCTCAGAGGCCAGGCTGAGAAACTTAGGGGCCTGAACCTGAGGGCATTCACCTAGTGTCTGTCCCATTTTGGTTAGCCTCTGCTTATTCTAATGGCCTCCATTTACCAACCTATCTCCTCTCAGTCTCTACTCTCAGGAAGGGTCACCTGGTGGGCCACAGGGGTGCAGCAGAGAGATCCAGGCAGGGTTCGGGGGGACAGATGGGGTTAGGCGGGGAGCCTGGGATGCATCTTTCAGACCTACAAGGGCCTCAGCTGCCTCTCGCTGCAACTGCCGCTCTGAGGGGCCAGATGTCCAGGCCAGGCAAGAGGCTCCCGGGGCCTGGGAAGGAAAGGGAAGGAGCAGCTGGGACTCTCACTTCCATGCCCCCTCAGTGTTCCCTTCAGTCCCCTGCCTTTCCCTTCTGCAGTCAACCTCCTCCCCAGGCCTTGGAGGCCACTTCTTTCCCGAGACCTGTGGCTGTAGCAGAAGAGAGTCTGGGGAGCCACAGGACTGGAGTATCAGAGTCGAACATCTGGAAAGGAGAGACACATGGGAAGTGGGTGGGGCATTCTGACCTGGGAAGTGGAGTTCCTGGCTGGCCACTGGACTCTGTGGGCTTGGGCAAGTCTTGCTCACTGTCTCGGGCACTTTGCTTTCTATAAAATGAGACTCTCATCCAGGTGTTCCCTCTCATGCTACTGTGAGGTTATAGGGTTGGTGTCAGGTTTTCAAAGGCAGATAAAATACCCAGTGTGACTGGGATTGCTGTCTGCTCCCCCAGCCTGCTTTCTCCAGCCCAGCTTCCTCTGCCCCAAGGAATTCCACCTTCACGAAACTTGCTCTGATGGCTTCTGGTCTATAGCTTTACCATCCAGGCCTTCCTTGTCACCAGACAACCCTATCCTATCCTGTTTCCGAAGAGGGAGCAGCCATGTTTGTTCAAGGTCAGGGCCTGTGCTAGGTGTTATTATTATGACAACCCCAGATGAGTAAGTAGCAGCTAGAAATTACTGATATTAAATCAGGCTCTGAGAGTTGCAAATACTGTCAAAGGCTCCCAGTCAGGGAACAGTAGAAACTGATACGATCTGCCTGCCTGTTAGTATGAAACCCTTTTCCTTTTTTTGAGGTAAGAATTTTATGTAGCCTAGGCTGACCTTGTGTAGTGTAGCTGAAGATTACCCTGAAGCCCTGACATTCCTGGCTCAACCTCTCAAGTGCTGGGATTACAAGTGTGCACCATCACACTTGGCCAGAAACTTTCCTTTATTGTGTTCCTACTTACGTGTGAGGCAGGTTAGGGGGTCCTTGGGGCTCTCCAGAAAGTGGAGCTGCCAGTACTGAGCGAGATCCTGGGCAGGTTGGGAGGGTCCCATGAGTGGGCAGCCGGAGAGATGTGCCAGGGTCAAAGCCTAAGAAGGGCAAGAGAAGCAGAATGGATGGGTTCAAAGACCACAGTTCCCTTTCCTCTCTCTCCCCGTTCTGGTGCAGTGGTAACCTAGCATTAGGTATCTGTCTGATGACAGAAGGATGAACGTCTTACCAGGGAAAGGATGTAGAGGGACAGCAGGTTCTTGGCACAGCAAGCGGCACACTACTGGAGGGGGCATTGAGAGTCCTGGGGGCAGCCAGTGTCCGGGGCCCCAAGGTCCAGCAGGCAATGGTGTCCAGGGCAAAGGCAAGGCTTCCTGGGGGCGGCTGAGCAGCAGAGGCCCATAGTTCTCCTAAGGGTAGAGGGCCCGGGGCAGATTCATGAGCCTGCAGAAGTAAGCATGCTCCAGGATGAGGGCAGGAGCTGAAACTACGGGCGGGCAGCTCCTAAAGTCCCACCTTCTCACCCACAGACCCCAAGTGACTCACTAAAGAGCACACCACAAGTCAGGGGTGGGCTGGAGCCCAGGGGTACAGTGCACGGGGGCAGTCTGGGCAGGAGCTGGGCGAAGAGCCGTCCCCCAGGACCCAGGTCTCCTTACCTTCCCCGGGGGTGTCAGCACCAGTGGGACTGCTCCATGGGGACTCTGAGGCTGGGGTGCTATGTTCTCCTTTCCAGCTGTGAGGAACCAGGGAGAGATCCAGCACGCCCCTTTCCTGACCCCTATCCTACCCCAACTTCAGCTAAGTTCTCATCTCCCTCTGACTTCTTCATTCTTTTTTTTTTTTTTCCCCCCATGTAGCCTAGGCTGGCTTTGAACCTGTGATCCTCCTGCTTCCACCTCCGCGTGCTATCATGCCCAGGCCTGTTCTGTGTCTTTGCTTCTCCTGCCCAGCCCCTCCTCCTTCTCCTCCAGACAGGGTCTGATTCGGTAGTGCAGGTTGGTTTCCATCTCACTCTCCTCTTCCCTTACCTCTCCTGTACTCACCACACCCCATGCCTCGGTTTTCTTTCTATCAGTGTGTGTGTGTGTGTGTGTGTGTGTGTGTGTGTGTAGACCACGGGATAATTCTGGGGAGTCAGTTCTCTCCTACCTTTATGCAAGCTCTGAGGATGGAGCTCAGGTCACCAGCTTTGTGCGGTAAGTACCTTTACCCTGAGCCACCTCACTGTGCCCCTCCCCCCATTTTCTATCTTCAATTGTCACTGCAGCCTTGCCCACAATTTAAAATGAAATTTTCTTTATTCTTAGGTGTGTGAGTGCTTTGCCTGCATGTCTGTCTGTCCACCACACGTGACAGGCCTGCTGAGGCCCGCAGGGAGTAGGTTTTGGAGCTGGAGTTAGAGACATTGTGGTGAGCTTCCTAGTGAGACAGTGCTCTCTGGACTGCTGCCTCATCTCTCCAGCCCCGTCAGCACGTTTGACAGATCAAGAGGGTGAAGCCCAGAGAGAGGAAACACCTTGCCCAAGGCCACACACTGATTAGTCTCACAACAGGGGTGCTTGTCCTTACACTTACTACGGTCAAATCCCTGTCCCATTCCCAACCAGAGCCACTCACAAGGGACCCCTGGCCGAAAGGCTCCCTTCTTGACACGGAGGGGAGCTTTCAGAGGGGCTGCCCCTTTCATCAGTCCCTGAGCCAGGTGCCTCTTCAGCTGTGCCTCCTGCTGCCTACGCAAGGCTACTTGGGCAGCCATGACTCTCCGACGTTCCCTAAGAGAAGGAGACTGTGAGTCAACAGTCAGCCGTTTGGAAGAGAAGCACACCCCCCACCACCCCGCATCTCATACTCACAGGATGAGGACACATTTGTGACACTCGCAAGCCTGGAAGAGGCAGAGGCGCTTGTGGCCCTTGAGGTGGGCTGTGACACCATGGTTGCGACAGCGGGCACAGGTTGGAGAGCGACTGACAGGTCTCTTGGGAATAAGCTCTGTGCTCTGGGAAACTCTGGTCTCATGCCCTGGGGAAGAGTCAGCCGAGCAGGGGTGGACAGCAGGGGCTTCACTGGGGTCCATGGATCTAAGGCAGGAGTGGTAGGTCAGGAGAGTTACATGAGCTCTGTCCTAACCAGCCCTTCTGCTTTCGGGAAGCCACATCTGTGGTGATCCATCGTGCCCCTCTAAGGACCCACCTTTCACCCTGCCGTCTCCTCTCTTCACCCCACAACCTTTCTCATAGATGCTCCTTTCTCAGAAACTACGCTTTTCTTTCTCAAGTATTTGTTCAATACATTTTTGCTTGCCCCCCCCACCCCAATTTTAAGTTCCACATGTGCTAGCCAAGTCAGTCTGCTCTCTGTATGCCATCATTATAATTTTGGGGTGTGTGTTTTAAGAGTGTGTATGTGGATGCATGTATATATGTGTAGAGCTGACATTTTAGATGGCTTTTCTCCAGTGCTCTCCACTTAGATTTTTTTTTTTAGTCAAGGTCATCTTGCTGAATCTGAAGCACATGGCTTTAGCTAGACTGGCTGGCCAGTGAGCTTTAGAGATCCACCTGTCTCAGCTCCCCACTCTTAGTGGTGGGGTTACAGGCATGTCACTGTGCCCAGTTTTTAAGTGGGGACCTGAACTCAGGTACTCAGGCATGTGCCCAAGCACTATCAACTGAGCCTTCTCCTCAGCACCCCTGATTTTTAAAAAATTAACTAGTTAATTTATTTAATTTTGGAGACAAGACCTCACTATGTGTGTATTCCTGGCTGTAGACCAGGGTGGACTCAAACTCACAGAGACCCAAATGCCTCTGCTTCCAGAGTGCTGGGGTTCAAGGTGTCTGTCAGCAAGCTCAGCTTTTGTTTTTGTACTCTCCAGTCACAATATTATTCTCAAGAGATTTCCTATCCCATTTTCACTAGATGGTTCAAAAAATGGGCATTGAGCTGGGCAGTGGGGGCGCACGCCTTTAGTCCCAGTACTTGGGAGGCAGAGGCAGGCAAATCTCTGAGTTCGAGGCCAACCTGGTCTACAGAGGGAGTTTCAAGGTAACCAGGGCGACACAGAGAAACTTTGCGGAGAAAAACTGAAAACCAAAAACCAAAACCAACCAGCCAACCAACCAAACAAAAAAAGCATTGAATCTAGGGCCTTATAGACACATATTACCGCCCCCCCCTTTTAAAGACAAGGTCTTGATAAGTGGTAGGGGCTGGCCTTGAACTTGCTATCCTCCTTCCTCAGCCTCCTGAGGTAACTGAGATTTTAATGCTAACCTGTATCTTTTTCTTGGACTCGATTAGGTTAACAAATATTTACTGATCCATGCATGCTGGCTCATATCTGCAATCCAAGCAGTTGGGAGTCTAAGGCAGGGGGATTGTTGTGAGTTCCAGGCCAGTCTGGGCAACTGGGGTGACTCTTTTAAAAAACCAAAAACTAACTGGGTGTGGTGGCACATGCTTATAATTCCAGGTCTTGGAGGGTAGAGGCAAGGGGGATCAGGAGTTCAAGGTCCTCTGCTGCTAGGAGTTGAAGACTGCCCTGGGCTACATGATACCCTTTCTTAAAAACAAAACAAAACAAAACAAAACAAAATCAACTTCTTCCCAAATGGTTACTGAGTCCCTGACACTTGCGACATCCTGAAGGAGGCCAAAGGTGTTTTCAGGACACCACTTTCTTCCTTGAATCCAACCGCATGGGTTTCTTGAAAATCCATGTAACCACTGCTGCACTTACGTCCCTGTACCCCACGCCCAACAGTTAATGGCATGCACTGTCCCATCCCATGCAACCATTATGTGGGTGTCCCCTCCAGGCAGCCATCCATCACCCCCAAACGCTGGGCCTGCGGCCCCTCCCGCTCCAGGGTCCCAGGGAGGGGGCTGGGCACGAGGACCGCGCTCAGAAGCGGGGGTGGGTGGGGTGGGTGGAGAGGTGGGGGTGGGGCGGGGTGGGGCGGGGAAGTGCTGAGCAGCGCGAGGGGCCAGCAAGGGGAGTCCATGGTGGGGACCCAGCTCAGGAGACAGGGAGGGATCAAGTTCATGCCGCCAGCCGGTGGTTACCACAGCCTCAAGCCGAATCACACTCAGCCAGGTCCAAGGAAAAGGGCGACAAAGTGGCGAAGAGGAACGGCTGGCTCGAGCGGCTTTTCCCGCTCCTCGCCACAAGGACCAATGAGCTTCAAGCCCGGCGCTCTGGCTGTGCGGCACAGCCAATAGGGTTCGAGAGCCACCACGGAGGGCCCGCCCCTCCCCTTCCTGCCCCGCTTCGCCCCGGCAACAATCGCGCCAGCCAATAGCGCGTCGAGTTGAGTCGCGCGCGCACACACGTTGCCTCCCGTCTTACTTTGCCAGATTGTTCTTCACGCTGGAGGCAGGTAGCCAATGGGGCGTCGAATTACCTCAACCAGAGCGAGGCTGGCCCTCCCTTCCCCCTCCCGCCCGCTCCCCCCACCACAGGAGCCCCAGGCTCAGCCACGGCCTGAGGCGTTGGCTCACACCCGCTGCGCGTGCGCAGCCTTCGGCCACGGAGGCCGGCGGTGTTTTCCCTCCCACGTCAGGTATTTAATGTGGGCTCTAGCCTGCCTTGTGCCGCACTCCCCTGGGTTACAGCACCCGCGTGTCTGTGGCATTCCAGGCCCAAGAAGGCGGCGGAAGTGACTTCCCAGCTGGACTGCTATGCGGAGGACGGGTACTGAAGCTGGAAAGGTGCTTTGTGCCCAGCCTGGGGTGGGGGTTGCTTGAATGGCGGCGGGTCCAAGAGGCTGAGCTTTTACATCGGGAGGAGGGAGCGCGAAAGGAACAAACACATTAGCCGTTGGCCTTTGCCTGGTACTTCATGTCCATCTTATTACTCTTCACAACGACTCTAGAGAATGGGTAATCACTAGTTTTTTGGGAATGAAGAAGCAGGCGAAGAGTTCGACCAAGAGCGTAAGATCTCCAAGCTAACAGGCAGATTGCAACTTTGGGTTAGCTTGGAGCGCTAAGCCCTGGAAACTTTGTAGCCTCTCCCACACACTTTTAATAATTTCCCATTCCTATTAATCCCGACCCCTCACTTTCATTCTCCAGTCTTCCCATAGGCAGCCATCCTAAGATGGTTAGTTAGTGTGGTTCTGATTTTGTGCGTTATCTTCAGAGATGTGTAGTGTTTTGTGTACACGTGGATTTTGTGGATGTGGTAATGTCTTATTTAAAAAGGAAAAAAAAAGCACTGTGCTTTTGGGGCCAATCCGTATGCACATGTACATCTATAAATGTTTTTATATTTATTTATTTTTTTAAATTTCATGTGCATTCCCGCATGTATGTATGTATGTGTGAGGGTGTCAAATCCTTTGGAACTGGAGTTACAGACAGTTGTGAGTTGCCCTGTCAGTGCTGGGAATTGAACTTGGGTCCTCTGGAGGAGCAGCCAGTGCTCTTAAACCACGGAGCCATCTCTCCAACTCATTTTTTTTTTTTTTTTTTTTTTTTTTTTTTTTTTTTTTAAGAGAGGGTCTCAGAACTTGCTCGGTAGAGCAGGCTGTCCTGGAACTCAGAGATCCACCTGCCTCTGCTTCCTGAATGCTGGGATTAAAGGTGTGCACCATCACTTCTGGCTGCAGCTAATCAATTGCTTCTGTGTGTGCTATTCCTCCCTGCAAGTTGTGCACTCCCTTAGTTTTAGGAGAGGTGTTCCTTTTGCCCAAACCCATCATCACAAAAGTGATTCCTCCTCATATATTGGAGGGTGGAGATTTTCATTATATTTAGCTATACTATACCAGAAGTGGGTGTTTATAAACCTAATTTGACTATTGTCAGACTTCTCCCTGCATTAAACTTGAGACACTGATGGGAACTCACAATTCCTCTTTTCCTAGGGGGTCCCATCTATCCTTCCCTCAATCACTCCATAAACAGCAGAGTACAGAAGTATCTATCACCACACACCTGCTAACTCTTATCCTTTTCCAGCTTTTTGATTGCTGTCAGCCTGTGAGGTATAGAATAAGGATACATATTGCAAGATAATTGCATTTCCCAGGTTACAGTTAGACTGGTGCACTTCCTCCAATGCCTGCTAGCTTTTGTGCCTTTACTCTTCTGAGGATGGTTTCTTCACAGGCTTATCCTAGGCTCACTCTCTTTTTCTTGCTGGTGAGAAAATTCTTATTGGTTTAAATTATCACATATTTTCTTTCTTTTTCTTTTTCTTTTTTTTTTTTTTTTTTTTTCAGAACTGAGGACCGAACCCAGGGCCTTGCGCTTGCTAGGCAAGCACTCTACCACTGAACTAAATCCCCAACCCCAAAGATTTATTTTTATTTATTATGTATACAGTGTTCTGCCTGCGGGTATCCCTGCATGCCAGAAGAGGGCACCAGATCTCATTACAGATGGTTGTGAGCCACAGTGTGGTTGGCTGGGAATTGAACTCAGGACCTCTGGAAGAGCAGCCAGTGCTCTTAACCTCTGAGCCATCTCTCTAGCCCTTACATATTTTCTTATGTCAGTTTGCTTTGAATAGTTTATATGTTTTGTATACTTTTTGTTGTTTTGTTTATGTTTGACACAGGGTTTCATGTAGGCTAGGCCACCCTTGAACTTGTTATGTAGTTCAAGGTGATCTTGAACTTCTGGTCCTCCAGTCCCCCTTTACAAGTGTTGGGATTATAGGCACACACCACCATGGTATATTAATATGAAACTGACATTGGTGCAATACTTTTAACTAGACCATGTTTAGTTTATTGCAGATTTTATATGCATTCCTGTGTATAAGTGATATGGTTGTTATTGTCCAGTTCTAAATACTTTTTAATTTCCTTAGTAAACAAAAAAGACTTGGGAATATGTTAATTAACATCTACTCTCTCATAGGCTTTTTGTACTTGAGACAGGTTCTCATGTAGTGGGTTTGTTTGTTTGTTTGGCCTTGCTGGCCTTAAACTTAGGTCAGCCTTCTGTGTGCTGGGACTACAGGTGCGCAGGTGTGATCCACCATGCTTGATTCACAAAGCTCTAATGCTCAGTTTGTTGTTTTGATGTCCTTGCATTTGACTGGAGAACAGCCTATATAGTGATGGGTCTTTGGATCAGCACTGTGGCTGGAGGGAGGACCTAGGCAAGAACGTGAAAAGTGTGCTTTGAAAAGAAGATAATGCTGGCTGTGAATTATTTTGGAGGGGAGACCACAGAGATGGGAAACTTGTGTCATTATAGGTCTCAAGGGAGCCCATATCACAGCAACTAACATGGTCAATTTTCTTTAGAAAATTGGACAGAGAATTCAGGGACTGACAAGAACCAAACTTGAGACTCCATCAGAAATTGGCTCCAGATTGATCTGTCACATCCAGGACCCTGACTCAGAAGCATGGGACTCCAGGATTTGAGATCTCTGCAGCTGCTATGCCTCTTAGAGGCCATCTCTTTTTTGCCTTGTATGTCTTGTTGGGGCTGTATACCGTAAGGCCCCAGTACGTGGGAGGCTGGCTGGACCTATGTACTGGTGGAAAGTGGGCTGAGTCCCCTCAGGGGATAGGCTTTCTGCATGCTGATGTTAAAGTGATGTGGGCCGGAGGTGGTGGTGCACACCTTTAATCCCAGCACTCTGGAGTGGGGGGGAGGGGGCAGAGACATGGGGATCTCTGTGAGTTTGAGGCCAGCCTGGTCTACAGAGTGAGATCCAGGACAGTCACCAAAACTACACAGAGAAACCCTGTCTCGATAAAACAAACAAACAATAACAACAACAAAAAGGTGATGTGGAAAGCCGAACATGATGGGTCATGCCTTTAGTTCCAAGTACTCAGGAGGCAGAGGCAGGTGGATCTCTGAGTTTGAGGCTAGCCTGGTCTACAAAATGAGTTCCAGGACAGCTAAGGCTACACAGAGAAACCCTGTCTCAAAAAACCAAAACCAACTAAACAACAACAAAAGCCCCCAAAACAACAAAACAAAACAAAAACAACAACAAAAAGAAGGTGGTGTGGGAGGCAGGTGACTAGAAGAACATCTCTCTTTAGGGACTGAAGCTCTTTTGTGCTATGAGGCGACAGCTTCAGCCTTCAGAGCTGTGACCTTGCATAACTGGAACTGGCTTCTGTTGAGGAGCATGGTGTGTAAGCTGAAAGAAGGCTGCGAGGAGACCATAGTGTATATTGAGACAGGTGATATACCACCTTCTGCTCACCTTTTTGCTAACCCTCCTTTCTAGCTATACTTCCAGCAGCCAGGACTGAGATACACACACACACACACACACACACACACACAGACGTTTGTACACCTGAGAGACGTGTGTGTGTGTGTGTATGTGTGTGTATACAAATTGATAGTAAAAGCATAGTGCTGATTATTTTAGATAGTAATATTACCATATGCAAAAAATAAAAAGGTATGCTTGTGAAACACTTCATGTTCCTCAGGGGCACACAAAACACATCAGTTACTTTAGAGTGACTGCTTTGGGGAGGTTAAGGAGTGAAAATGAGGAATAGGGATTACTGGCCAGAATGGAGTAGGTCTCACTCAGATATTTGTAGTGTAGGATGGATGTGGACAGGTCCCTGGGGGGAGCGAAGGATGAAGACACAGGAGCTAGGGCAGCAGAGGGGCTTCCATAAGAAGGATTAGCAGACACAGATAAAGACCCTGGCTTCTTGTTCCATGCAGGTGCAGTGAGTGGGTGTGGGAGGAGGCAAAGCTGGGGCCAGGAGGACACAGGAAATATAGAGGCTAGAAAGGGAGGCCCTGAGAGGGGCCAGTGACACTGATTCCACCTCTTTAATCCCCTACTCCTCAGGGACCAGTAGGGGAATTGTGAGTTTTAAAGGCTGCACCTCAGCCTTATCTTACCCCCCACAAATCTCCTACCTCGTCTCTCCACCTGGAGTGTCCGTTGCCTCCTACAGCCGTGTCTGCAGGTCCTATCTCTGCAACAATATAACCAACTTGGAGCCTTTTGTGAGACTCAAGGCTGGTGAACCTAAGCACACAGCACCTTCTGCCAAACATTGTCCAACCTGTGTGGGAAGGCACGACCAGGAATGTCTTCCAAATTTTGTCACCACTGAAGCCTGTCCCTTTGCTGCTTCTTCATGTTACAGTTCCACCTTAAAATTTCAGGCAGGTGAGAGGAGAACTTTATCAAATGACTATCTGTGTATACTGTACCATGCCTTTGTACACCCGAGAGACTGGTGGGATCATGAGATGGGAGTGGGGGTACAGAAGACTAGACACTCTAACTCTAAGTAAGGAGAGTAAGGTTTCTGTTGTCCAAATCTCTGGTGGGAAAGCAGGTGTTCTGACTGGTGAGGGCCTCTGGGAAGGGACCAGGATTCTTAAGTCTGGAAAGTAGCCCTGATTCTTCTCTTTCTTCCTTGTAGGGAAGCTCAATACTACCTTCCTCATAATGGGCTGTGCTCGTAATTCAGACAAGCTTTTAGCAAATTTTCAGCATATTGGGAGCATCAGAGTGACTGAGGTCGTCAACATCTTAGAAAAGTCCGAGGCTGCTGGTGCAGGGCACTGTAGTCAAGGTCCTCCTTGGAGCATCCTCTTAGGCCCTCTGCTTATCTTCAGAGACTGACCACCCAGCGAAACTGGAAAAATATCAGACCCCTTGCATAATCAAATAAAATCTCAGAATTATCCTTGTGTTTTGTCCTGTGGTCTGTGAGAGTGTAGAGTGGTAGAGTGTAGAAGGACCCAACATATACAGGGAGGGGGGACAGGAACAAAGGGGTCTGGGTCTGAGAAAGTGGGGTTCCTAGAATACAGCTGCTTTCTGCCCAGAACCCAGTACTGGGGAGATGAAAGTTGATGTGGAGGACAGCAGTTTAAGAGCTGGTAGCACAGAAGGAGGAAGGCGTTATCATTCTCAAAGCTCCATCCTGCGGCACTCAGGTCTGGATAGGTGCTTTTGTAGGGAGGGAAGGAAGGCAGGGCAGGAAGGCTGCTTGTTGAGTGGAGTCTTTGTCATCCAGGCTGCCATCTCTTCCTTTCTCTGGATGGAAAATCACAACTTTGACTAGCTTCCCTCCCTCCCTCCCTCCCTCCCTCCCTTCCCTTCCTCTTTTCATTTCCTTCCTTACCTCTCTGTGTCTTCTTCCTTTCCTCTCCTGCTCCTGGTCCACCTTACCCCATTCCCAGAGCTGGGATTTAATCCAGGGCTTGTATATGCAGTTAAAAGGTCTCCACTGAACTACTCCCTGACCCCTCCCAGCTCCCTTAGTTCTTTACATAGACACGTTTTCTTCCAGGGGAATCTCACAGCACTTTATGTACTTTGTGTTACTTGATGCACAGAATTAAAAGAGTAAGGCAGAAGTGGGATATGCCACCCATGCGCTCTCTCTCTCTCTCTCTCTCTCTCTCTCTCTCTCTCTCTCTCTCCACACACACACACACACACACACACACACACACACACACACACACAGCTGTTAATTGAAGGTAACTAGATGTGGATTGTGTAAATCTAAACAAAGATCACTTACAAGTTAACATCTTAATCATCCAGGTGTCTTTCCTTAAGAATTTGGTATGCAAGCCGGGCAGTGGTGGTGCACATCTTTAATCCCAGTACTATGGATGCAGAGGCAGGTGGATCTCTGAGTTCCAGGCCAGCCTGGTCTATAGAGTGAGTTCCAGGACAGCCAGGGCTACACAGAGAAACCTTGCCTCAAAAAACCAATTTAAAAAAATTTAGAATGCTGGGCAAAGGGATAGAATATGACCTTGCAAAAGGGCTACTAGGGAGGAAATAAAACTAAGTCTGCTGAGGACAGCTTCCAAAGAAGTGATCACTTCTGGAGTAGTTATAGTTCAGGGATGAAATGTCCCCGACAGGCCCATGTATTGAATACTTGATCCCTAGTTGGTATGTTGGTAGGTTGTGGAGACCCCAGAAAGTGAGGTCTAGCTGGAAGGGGTAGATTAGCACTGGTGGGTCCTTGAAGGTATTTTGTCCCTGTCCCCTTATTCTTTCTTTCTGTTTCCTGTCTTCCATGAGGTGAGATGTTCTGCCACCATGACGATCTGCTCAAGTACATGAGGCCAAGAGACCATGGACCTGCTCCCTCCAAAACCGTGAGCAAAAATCTTTCCTCCCTGAAATGATTTCTATCAGCTACTCTGGATAAAATGATGATGAATGTAACCGATACAAAGGAAGACTAAGAACTTGTCATCGTCCTTGCAGGTGGCTAAAGGAAGCTCTCCAAAATGAGAAGCCCTGGGCTTGTAGGCAAGACACACTGAGGCAGGGCTGGGTAGCAGTCCTTAGAGCCAACTAGAGGATCTGTGACAGCATCTTCAGATCCTCAGGCTGAACTGTACCTTTAGGGTTCTTGTCATAGATGTAGTTGCCCACAGCAGCAGCATTCACTCTCTCAAGTCCAAAGAGTATTCTATAGCAAGCTTGTGACATAGGGCTGGCCATCACACTCAGAGTACCCACCTGGGGTCAGTGTCTTGGAGCAGTACTCACAGCACAGGCAGGGCTGGTGCCAGTCCTTGCCCAGGTCACCTTCTTGGTGAAATGGTAAAGCACACCATTTTGTTGTATTGAGGACACATGTTGGCCTCCCCAGTGAACGTGGTGACACTAGAGACTTTGCTGAAACTCTGTGTGTGTGTGTGTGTGTGTGTGTGTGTGTGTGTGTGTGTGTGTGTGTGTGTGTGAACCCCTGGCCTCCTAATCCTTTGTTTGGACCACAGGGATGACCTGAAGGTCCTCAGTCAGGGGGTTTTCATAGCTATGGGAACTGGCACCCCTGATACTCATGCCTTTGGGTCCAAATAGTGTGGCATATGCAGGACTTGTGTCAGAAGGGCTCCCCATGGTATTCAGTGTGGCCCTCAGTCCACCAGTGTCTTACTGAGTGCTTACACTAGAGACAGAACTTGTGCCAGTGCTTGCCCAGGGAGCTCACCTTCTTGTCGAAGTACACAGTCTTGACACACTTGAGACACTTGGAGGCCATGGTCAGTGAACCCAGTCAGCTAGCCCCCTCTATCTGTACTGGACTCTGAGCTCATGAACATTTTCTTTTATATATGTTTAACTTAGCAGCATTATTTGGCTATATCTCATAGATCATAAATGTCACCTATTTCAAATGTCTGATTAGTTATTAGTATATCTACAGAAGTGTACTATCATCACCAAAATAAACTTTAAAACACTTTAATCAATCCTAAAAGAAACTCTGCTTCTATTAGTAGCTAGTCTATAAAGTTTCTAAATCTCCACAGCTCTAGGAAACGTTAGTCTATTTTTTGTGTCTGCATATTTCCCTATGGTGAAGATACTGAATCATATATAATTAAATCATACTATAGGATTTTTTTTTGTTTGACTGGATTCTTTTTTTTTTATTTTTTTTTATTTTTATTTTTTTTTTTTTTGGTTTTTCGAGACAGGGTTTCTCTGCGTAGCTTTGCGCCTTTCCTGGAGCTCACTTGGTAGCCCAGGTTG